TCTTTGCTATCTCTGCTAAAGCCCAACTAGTACTTTTGGTGAAAATGATGGGAATCTCCTCCTTGACTTTTTTCTTCAACACAGTTCCCACGTTTTATTTCAGGATAAGTAATGGACACCCTCAACATTCTACATTTATCCAGCTATTACTAGTATTTTCCAGAGTATTCCATTGGAATCTCAATCTTACAATGGAATACATGATGTGATTGGAAAGGGGTCTAATGACTAGCAGTATATTTGCCAACATAGAGAGGTGCAGTTGGCCAGGATGTGCATCTGGGTTCCAGTTTCTGGACCTAATCCTGGCTTATCTAGCAGGTGAGTCAAAATTCAGGAACCAATTTACAGATATCTACCTGGTTTCTGACTTTTGACTTACTCTATAATGTGGATATAAGGTGTGGTACAAATATTGCGTATATTGAGGTTTAGCAAAAGAACATGTCTTTAATCAGTCCAAATAAAAGAAACAATTTTAACTAAATGTCAGTTATATTGGTGAAAAAGTCACTTATAAATAGAAAAGATTTTCAAATGAGGCATTTTAATGTTGGTAGAAAAAAATGCATCTTCCTTTAATCCCTTCAGGATTAACAACTGTTTGACGATGGTGACAAAAAATTAGAACATCTCTTAAACGCCTCTAAAGAGCTTTAAATACTTGCATGTCTGAGCTTGTTCAGGCATTAGTACTAGTCTTCCCATTAGTACAGCTTTAAAATATTAGGATAGAATTGTATCGCTGTTTTTCTGTTCTCATTCCTCAGGTATGCTGTATGCATCCATATCTCCTGCTGGTAATTTGTCATCTTCGTTAAGAGTATGATTGCCAACTGTTGTTTACCTCAACCCCTGTGTCTGCGGTCAGAGTTCAGGATTCACATTAACCTCCTAAGGACCACTGTTGGAACAGCTCCCTCATTACAATCTAGTATTTAAAGATCTCATTTCAAAATGGAATGTCTCACTTATTTAGTGACAGCAGGGCTGGGTAGGACTGCCAATGACAACAGCTTTTTAAGGACCAGATTTGATGACGGCCTGACGTGTGTTTTAGTAATGGCAATTGTAAAATCAATGGGTAGTATGAAGGGTTAATGATAACAACATTAATTACTTTGAACTAGCCAGGAAACTGTAAAGTTAAGATAGTTAAACTGGAAAAACAAATTGAGTTGGAAAAGTATTCTAATTCAATACATTTTCCTTAAATTTTAAACTCTTTATTGAAAACCTCACAATTTGTGGATCCATGAATGGCACTGCTAGTGCCTCTATGGGAAAACGAAATCTACATGTCTTAAATTCTTCCGTTTTATTCACTACTAACTGATAAGCAACTTCCAAAATCTAGGCCAAAAACAAAATCATGTTTGAAAAGTGTTCGTGATTAGACCTTTAAGGACCATAAACGTCACCCAGGCAACTTAATTTCAATGAAGTTGTCTGGATGGGATGACCCTGTTCTTTTAACCATGCAATGAAAAACACTGCAGCTTTTTAGAAACTGCTATGCTTACATTTCAGGGTTAAACCCACTTCTAGTGGCTGTCATACTGGCATACATGCTCGTCAGGCCCCAATGCTCCTCTATGCGGAGCATTGGGTTGGACCAACTGTGGAGGAGGCCATGCCTCTTCCATAATATCACAGGAGGTTTAGAGGTAAACAGTGTCAAAGAAGGCTCAATGCTGGAAAAAGCTAAACATTAAGTTTTATTATTTTTTATGGCATACACAGTGGCCCTGGGGCTTTGCAGGTTTCTCCTGCAGTAATGCGACAGTTTGAACCTCTTTTTGTCTGTAGATTTGTGACAAAGACTGGGTTTAGGATATGTGCAATCTAGTACATAATGTTGCGCTTGCTATAGTAGCCTGTTTAGTACATATAATATAAACATATATTTTAATTATAGAAAAAAAATGAGTTCTTCCAGATTGTCATATGGGGGTGTAGATATTAGATTTGTATGGGGCCCAGTGAAGCAGGGCACCAGATGACCAGATGGCTTCCCGGCTCTGTAATGTTATGCAACCCACCTGGGTAGATAGAAATATCTCCCTGACCAGACCACAATGAAAATCTCCAGCTTGGTGGGTTGTAACAGCTCGATGTCATATCACAAGATGAACTATAGCGCTGGTAGATTTCTGCTCTTTAGTCTCTTTATTTTGTTTAATAATGAGCTTGTTAGAACTGAAAGCCACAGATCAGCGAAGGTAGAACAAACTACATTACATACATTTCTACACTGGATGGTATAAACTCAAGACAGGGAGTTAATGGTCCTAAAGGTACGCACCAGTGACACCACTTGTGTCAATGGAAACAATGTTTTTTAGTCATAGAGAAATACAGTTTTTAAATTAAAGTCAAGTAGGACTCTCCTCTTCTGTCTGTTTTGAGATGAAATCGGAATTCTCTTCACTGTGTTCTTTTTGTCATTCATTTATTTTATTTTTTTGTATTTTTGACCAGAGGCAGTAGTAATGAGTGATAGGAGAACAGTTATCATGCAATGCCTGGCTGATTAAGATGTGTTGCATTTCATGTTGCGTGAGATTCCATGAGGTTGTACTGAGCGTCCCGGAGGATTCATTTAGATAATGTAACCCATAAACACAGGTGGCAATGTTAAAAGACTGGAAAGGTAAAATAAAGCCATGGCTAGGACAAGATTGTGCCAAGAATGTAAAATGTACCGATATTTGGTACGAGTGGCCATCTTGCATGGAGTTCTTAGGTCAGGATACACACACAAGGGATTCAGCTTAGATTCCAAGCAGGAATTCGAAAAGTATAAGACACACAGTAGTTGTTTAGATGAGGAACTCTGGAGTTGGCTAAAAAAATAAAATCAGTAATCAAAATCTTAGATATAACATGACATTTGTGCTGGTTTTTTTTTTGTTTGTTTGTTTTTTAAACTAAACTGGTAATAACAGAGAATTGACAAGATAATATGAAATATTTAAACAAGACAGTTGAAGCATATTAATAATTCTGTGATTTTTGCTTAAGATTTCCAATTCCTCTGTTAAGCGCTTACAGTTCTTAGTTTAGTGAATAAATCTCTAAGATTAAGTCATTTAACCAGCTATACTAAGAGAAGACAAACAGAGCATGTTCACACGTAACAGAATGTAAACTTGATATTTATAAAATAAGCTACACATATGCTTTGTCTAGGATGTGTAATACAATCTGATGTAAGTCTACTAAGGCTAAGATCCAAGCTTTCATTGAAGTGCAATCCATGTGGTTTTCACCATATCCTTTAGAGAGTATAATAAATCATTAGAATGCATGATGTCATGCCTGCTATTGGCCTCCGTCCTCTCTAACCTATTTATAAAATAGTCATACATTGTTTTTTGTGTACACTCTTTAACACATCTAGAAACACAGTGGATTTAACCCCTTTAGGGCTGCCATCAGAAATGTTGGGGCTCATAAAAAAGTGCTTGGCTGGATATACTCCAAGCCACATGCACAGAGAGATACATACTCCCAGACACACAGGCATGCACGCATACACATTCTGCATATTCTATAACCCCTTTCACATAATCGTCCTCTGTAGCCTTATTCCTAATCTCTTTGAAGCTTTCCATCATGCCACCTAGCCTAATTAATCCCTCTCCAGACTGGCAACTAACCTATCCAAGACTACGGTTCCATGTAAACTCCCTTATCTTTCTCCAGACGGCTACCCAACCTCCCTAATCCCTCACAACCACCACCTAGCCTCTAGAATGCAACGTAGCTTCCATAATCTTTCTCTATAATTCTACCTAACTTCCATAATCTTTCTCCAGAATGCTACCTAACCTCAATAATCTTTCTCCAGAATGCCACCTAACCTCTATAATCTTTCTGCAGACTGCTACCCAACCTCCCTAATCCCTCTCAAAACCACCACCTAGCCTCTAGACTGCAACCTAACTTCCATAACCTTTCTCCATAATTCTACCTAACTACCATAATCTTTCTCCAGAATGCTACCTAACCTCCATAATCTTTCTCCAGACCGCTACCTAACCTCCATAATCCTTCTCCAGACTACTACCTAACTTCCATAACCTTTCTCCAGAATGCCACCTAACCTCCATAATCTTTCTCCAGAATGCCACCTAACCTCCATAATCTTTCTCCAGACTGCTACCCAACCTCCCTAATCCCTCTCAAAACCACCACCTAGCCTCTAGACTGCAACCTAACTTCCATAACCTTTCTCCATAATTCTACCTAACTACCATAATCTTTCTACAGAATGCTACCTAACCTCCATAATCATTCTCCAGACCGCTACCTAACCTCCATAATCCTTCTCCAGACTGCTACCTAACTTCCATAACCTTTCTCCAGAATGTCACCTAACCTCCATAATCTTTCTCCAGAATGCTATCTAACCTTAATAATCTTTCTCCAGACTTCAACTCCATAATACAATTCCAGACTGCTAACAAACCTCTTCGTTATCATTAATTACAGACTTTTCAGACCCTCCTACTATTTATTGCACACCCCATACTTTATTTATTTTGAAATCCCCTTTCCTAACATTTATATTTGAGAGAGAATGTGATAAAGCTGTGACCTCCCAAGATAGAGCAGATGAGATGAGACATCCATGAGGCAGTGAAAGACTGATTATTAACAGGCCTGGTCATCAGCAGGAGCATTGCTAAAAAAAAAAAAAGGGGCTGAGAGGAACTGGGCCCCAAGTGGGATCCTGAAAAGCCTTCAGTTATATTATTTGTGATAGTTTTAGTTTTATGTATCATATTAGAGCTAATTATACAGTATAGTTTGGGGTGCTAGGTTTTAATATAGGGGTGTGAAGTGTTAATACATCATAGCGTGGGGTTAATGCTGCAGGTATCAAGTTTATATTAAGATCTGTTGTCACAATGTGATTTTTATAGCACATTAGGGTTTAGGGTTAGAAACAGGAGTGTTAAGGGGCTCACATTAGAAGTGGATTAAGTCCACCGATGCCCCTGGTCATTTTGCTACCAGCAACTTCCCCTGCTCATCGGAGATGGCATTCAATGTTACTACTTTCCTTGAAGCAACAAGGACTGTCTGTGGACAGCCAGCAGACCACATTGGTTCCCCTTTTCACCCAGTTGTTTTTCCATACAATATATTGGGTGAAAGTATTGTAAATCCACCGTGTTATATTGGAAATAGAAGAGTACTTAGAATATTTTGTAGGGGGTCCCACTGGCATTCATGTAAGTGAATGTGATGGCTATCTTGAAGGAAAGCCAAGGAGTCCCATTTCTTGTCCATGCCCTTCAACAATCATGGCCCTGAACCTCTTAAGGACCAATAGCAATTTATGTCACAGTAACCATCAGTATCTGAAAAAAACTATGCTAGCGTAGAATGTAGTAACTGCCAAAAACTTATTTGCAAGGTATGCAACAGGATAATCCAGATTTATCTGTAAGAATAAGAAACCCACATTGCCTCTGCCCACTCTTCAATACAACTTGCCAGGTCTGGGAGTGCAACTACATATAGATACATGTAATTAAAATAAAGAGAAGATTCTTTCACACTCCCTTGGTCCACAGCAAATAAGAGCATAAAGCAGTGTTCAGAGGTGGAAGTAGCACTCATACATACATTCTGAGATTGGTTTTGGATTCCGAATATGCACAGACCAAAACAGTTAATTCTTTAGATGTAAGGTATTATGTTAAAACGTTACTAAAAAGGTTACTAGCTCACCATAAAATACCCAAATCGATTGCTTCACATGCTTACAAATTATTACTTCCCCAGCTTAATTTTGTTATGAACAAGAGTATAAACGGTGACAAGATTTAGAACCTGCTTGAGTTTCCGAATGTAGACTTAAACTGATTAAAAATATACTCAACTAGTCCATGTTTGTTTAAATTCCCCACCTATTTCCCATATAGCCTTATTGAACCATTGGGTTAAAGTGAAGCAATGTGACCTATCTTGGGCATACTGATTTTAACAAACCCCAGTAGAAGAAAGAAACTCCCAACTTTTCTATACAATTACTTTGTTACTATGTTAGATTTAAGTCCAGTGGCAGGGCTCTCCACTTTTTGTTTTTTGTTCCAGTGTGTCCAACTACAAATCTGTAACTCTCAGCCTATGATTAATTTCTACATTTTGTAAAGCAATCTGAATAAGAGCAGTATATAAGAACTGCTAAATAAATAAATTAATTAATAAAGAAGCTTTTCATAAAGGCAAAATGAGCTAAAACTTACTGTCTCAGACCATGAGTGTTCTAATATTATTATTGACAATTTACGCACTTTGTACAACTTTTAAATGTAAAATTAATATGTATTTCTGCTCATTTGATTCTAGAACATTCACAATAGTTTTTATTAGATTTCATGCTCTCATTGTATCATCTAGAATTTAAAAAAAATACTTTAAGATATGTTAAAAAGTTACATTTTATATTTATTTTTTTATTTTCCTTCGAAGAAAACAAGCTTTTTTTGTGCTAATTTCTATTTAACTTTTAGTTGTCATAAGCGTAGAAACCAATCCGAGAGGAAAAGCTCTGGGTGTTTCAACTCAGTAATTTCTGACATCTGGATATGTTTCATTGCAGGTGGTTGGGTGTCACATCGTTTGGGGTTCCTGAGAAATTAGGATGCAGCAATCTTCCACTGAGCTCCCGCCAGAGGGAAATGTGTAAAAAGAAACCCTACCTACTGTCGAGTATCCGTGAAGGTGCCAGACTCGGAATCCAAGAGTGCAAAAACCAATTCAAATACGAGAGGTGGAACTGCTCCATCTCACCCAACATTTATACCTCAAGCCAAACTTTCTCCCTCTCATTTGTATCGTCATCACTATCATCAGCCAATTCACTCTTTGGCTATGAGCTGAGTAGCGGTAAGTTGCCATTGATTTTAAGAGTTTGTTTTTGTGTAAACTTGTTGGTCACATTGTCTGATCTTTCACCCTCATTCTGAGCTGTTGGAATAGAGAGAACTGTAACATAAGCTTTGTTCTGGTGCATCCAGACATCACTTGGTCACCTGAAGCTCTTCTAGTGAGATTATCTGGTCCAAGGGATCATTGAACAAAATGTGTATGACAGTCTTTGTGGTTAATATATGGTTTGTCTAACGCTGAGCCAGGGACACTGAGTTATAGAACTTATGTTGCTTAGGAAATATATTCAATATAGTTGAATATCTATCTATCTATCTATCTATCTATCTATCGATCTTTCTATCTATCTATCTATCTATCATTCATCTATCTATCTATCTATCTATCTATCATTCATCTATCTATCTATCTATCTATCCATCTATCTATCATTCATCTATCTATCATTTATCTATCTATCTATCGATCTTTCTATCTATCTATCTATCGATCTTTCTATCTATCTATCTAACGGTCTATCTATCTTTTTATCTATCTATCTATCTATCTATCATTCATCTATCTATCTATCTATCTATCTATCTATCTATCATCTATCTATCTATCTATCTATCTATCTATCTATCTATCATTCATCTATCTATCTATCTATCTATCATTCATCTATCTATCTATCTATCATCTATCTATCTATCTATCTATCTATCTATCTATCTATCTATCATTCATCTATCTATCTATCTATCTATCATTCATCTATCTATCTATCTATCTATCTATCTATCTATCTATCTATCTATCTATCTATCTATCTATCTATCTATCATTTGTATGGGGCCCAGTGAAGCAGGGCACCAGATGACCAGATGGCTTCCCGGCTCTGTAATGTTATGCAACCCACCTGGGTAGATAGAAATATCTCCCTGACCAGACCACAATGAAAATCTCCAGCTTGGTGGGTTGTAACAGCTCGATGTCATATCACAAGATGAACTATAGCGCTGGTAGATTTCTGCTCTTTAGTCTCTTTATTTTGTTTAATAATGAGCTTGTTAGAACTGAAAGCCACAGCTCAGCAAAGGTAGAACAAACTACATTACATACATTTCTACACTGGATGGTATAAACTCAAGACAGGGAGTTAATGGTCCTAAAGGTGCGCACCAGTGACACCACTTGTGTCAATGATCTATCTATCATTCATCTATCTATCTATCTATCTATCTATCTATCATTCATCTATCTATCTATCTATCTATCTATCATTCATCTATCTATCTATCTATCTATCTATCATTCATCTATCTATCTATCTATCATTCATCTATCTATCTATCTATCTATCTATCTATCTATCTATCTGTCTGTCTGTCTGTCTCTCTCTCTGTCTATCTATCTATCTATCTATCTATCGGTCTATCTATCTTTTTATCTATCTATCTATCTATCTATCTATCTATCTATCTATCTATCTGTCTCTCTATCGATTTATCTATCTATCTATCTATCTGTCTGTCTCTCTGCCTATCTATCTATCTATCTATCTATCTATCACCTATCTGTTTATCTCTCAATATATCAATTTATACGTTTGTGTATCAGTATCTCTATTTGGTTACATGTCTGTCCTGTCTATCTGTCTGTCAATATATCTATTTATCTGTGTGTCTATATAAATATTTCTGTTTCGTTGTCTTTACTTTGTGTTTAACATCTGTTTGTTATTATTGGTATGCATGGTGATGATGTTTACTTCCTGTCAGGTGATACACACGGTTGCTATATATGAGCAGTGTTAAATTGAGAACAAATGCTTTATGAAAGATTGTCTTATGGATACGGTGTTGGTGTTTCCTGGAAAATATAATGCTCAAGCTAATTTCTGATTTGTGGATTCTTGAGGGACGTGCTATGCTATCCATTCTCCCTATACTGACAAAAATCAGAATCCTCCATGCTGGGCCATCATTTTTCTTTATTAATATTACCTACATGTGTTACTGGGACAAAAAAGGCACCAGAGCATATCCTATGTCACTCTTACTTCTGGCATGCAACATATAGGTCAGGGATCTCAAACTGTGACCTCCGCCTGTTCCTAAACTACAATTCCCATGATTCACTGACTATCTTCTGCATTTAATGAATTCTAGGAAATGTAGGCCATAGACATCTGTGGAGCAGCACTAGGGGCTGGGTGCTCTATATTCAGGTATGCTAGTAGGGCAGAGTTTGACTGATGTATCATCGGTAGGAGGTCTTTCAAGATACAAACATGGTTATTAATTCTTGACCCTTGTGCAGAACTTGACTGTCTAATCTATAACATGAAACTTATATACCTTATAGGATGTACTTTCGACAAAACTTTAACTATAACATTATTCATGAAGTGTATCCTTTAGAGGTCTCCCATCTGGATATGATCCTGTCCCAATGGGAGACCTTTGTTTTGGATCCTGTTCCGTTGCCCCGAGGGAACTGTCCCTAACCAGTTAGACATGCTCACTCTGTGCTCAGGGCATTAGGACCAACAGTATATAGAGCAGACTTCTCACAAACTTAAATATCGTATGGGAGAAAATATCAATTTGATTATGAATAATGGCAGTGACAATCTGATACCTTTAGCAATGCACTTTAAAATGTGTAGTTCTTCTAATTTAGAATTTCTTAGTAGACAAACTATGCTGGAGGCAGACGTTAAGGTAAGAGTAGGCATTGCTAGAAAACCTTTGTGTTATTTAGAGGCCAAATGGATTTTTTAGAGTACTGTATATATTGAATTTTGTTTCTGATATGTCATGGCTTGCATAGATTGTTTGTTACTTGGAACTGTGTACCATTGGTTATAGGCTACTCTACGTCATCATGCCGGTGGTGCTTATTTTTTTAATAAGATGATGTTAAATTATATATATATAAATAATATGTAGAGATATATTTCATATACTCATTATTTTTAGTATAGACATTACTAGTAGTGTATTTATGATATTATTGAGTGGTATGTATTAGTGAGATGGGACTAGATTATGAGGGTATTACTTCCAATTTCGAGTTGATGTTGTAAAATTCTAGGGGTCTACCCTTCGGTTTCTGGATTAGGCAGATTAGATTAAATCTACTCTATTTATGTTACTTATAATAATTTGTTTAGCTTTTTTAGTTTTTTTCTCCACTTTTTCATTTTTGTTTTTGACTGATTTATTTCATTTGTATTTATTATATATTTAGTTTGCATTCATTAATATTATTTTGTTGTTTATAGCTTAGATTTCTTATTTCTGCTCTCTGGGATTTATTTATTTTTGGTTGTCATAGTTTTCATGGTTATCTTTCCTCAGCCCCTCTGGGAGTCACAGATAAATTGTTGCCCTATTAAGGTGTGTGTTGCCTTAAATGAATAACTTCAATTTATTTGGGATGGGACATCTTCCTATTTAAGTTGCTTCTTGGAATCCCAAGGGCGTGCCTTTGAATAAGTGCCTTTGAGCATGTAACGTGAAGCGGGGAGGAGGGGTAACACTGTTGATACTTTGTATCCATCCTAACACATCTTTTTTAAATGTTGTTTCATTGACATATAATGTTTTTACTAAGTACAAATGAAGGAGCAGTATTGTCTTTGAAAAATTTACATTTCTGTCCATTTGGATTTTGAAGCTACATGTTTCAAATCAAAGCTCATTAAAGGGACACCATAGTCACCAGAACAACTACAGCTTAATGTAGTTGTTCTGGTGAGTATAGTAGCTCCCTTCAGGCATTTTCCGAAAAGGCAGTGTTTACATTGCCTCTAGGGACACCTCCAAGTGGCCACTCCTTAGATGGCCACTGGAGTGGCTTCCTGGCTCAGGGCTGCACAGTAGGCAGCCCTGTCGATCAGCATCCCCATGCTCTGCATGGAGACACTGAATATTTCTCATAGAGATGCATTGATTCAAGGAGGTCCTGATTGGCCAAAACGGCATTTGGCCCCGCCCCCGTGCTGATTTTAGCCAATCCAATGCTTTCCCTATGGGGGATAAGAAAATATTAATTAAACAGAACCAGGGCCGTCTTTAGCACGGGGCAAACGGGGCAGTTGCCCCGGGCCCAGTTGCTCCTGGGGGGCCCCAGAGCAGCTGCCCCGTGGGCCCGTGATTTCAGCAGCCCCACCGGCCCGCCAACTAAGGAGGCCCCCCGGGTGGCCCATGCACTAAGGGCCACCCGGTTACCATGTGTCAGCAGGGGCACGGTCGGGCGCTGTGACGCTTAAACAGCGCGACCGGGCCCCTTTCTGTACCGGCTGGGAGGAAGTGAGTGCGGCGTGTCACTTCCTCCCACCGGAGATAATAGCCGTGTGGGAGGAGGAAGGTAGGGAGGAGGGGAGTTCTTCAAGATAACTCCCAATTGCCTCTGCCTGCCACTGGACCCCAGGGAAACCACCCTCCATAAAAAGGTAAGAACCTGGAGGGTGGCTAAATGTATGTCAGTATGTCTGTGTGTTTGTTAGTATGTCTGTGTGTGTGTGCCAGTATGTCTGTGTGTGTGTGTGTATGTCAGTATGTCTGTGTTAGTATGTCTGTGTGTGTGTGTATGTCAGTATGTTTGTGTGTGTGTGTGTATGTGTGTGTGTGTTTGTGTCAGTATGTATGTGTGTGAGTATGTATGTCAGTATGTCTGTGTGTATGTGCTAGTATGTCTGTGTGTGTGTATGTCAGTATGTCTGTATGTGTATGTATGTCAGTATGTCTCTGTGTGTGTTAGTATGTCTGTGTGTGTATGCTAGTATGTCTGTGTGTGTGTGCTAGTATGTCTGTGTGTGTGTGTGTTAGTATGTCTGTGTGTGTGTGTGTGTGTATGTCAGTATGTATGTGTTAGTATGTCTCTGTGTGTGTGTGTGTGTGTGTATGTCAGTATGTTTGTGTGTGTGTATGTGTGTGTGTGTTTGTGTCAGTATGTGTGTGTGTTTGTGTCAGTATGTGTGTGTGTGTATTTCAGTATGTCTGTGTGCATGTGTTAGTATGTCTGTGTGTGTGTATGTCAGTATGTCTGTGTGTGTATGTATGTCAGTATGTCTGTGTGTGTGTTAGTATGTCTGTGTGTGTGTATGTCAGTATGACAGACATACTGACATACACACACAGACACACTGACATACACATACACACACAGACACACTGACATAAACATACACACACTGACATACACACACAGACATACTGACATACACACACAAACATATACACACACAAACATACTGACACACACACACAGACATACTAACATACATGTACAGACATGCTGACATACACACAAAGACATACTGACATACACACACACAGACATACTAACACACACACACAGACATACTAACACACACACACTAACACACACACACAGACATACTAACACACACACACACAGAGACATACTGTGTGTGTATATGTCTGTGTGTGTATGTCAGTTTGTCTGTGTATGTCAATACGCCTGTCAGTGTATGTGTTTCAGTATTTCTGTCAGTGTATGTGTTTGTGTGTGTGTCAGTATATATGTCAGTGTATGTGTCTGTTTTTATGTATGTGTGTCTGTGTGTGTATCAGTATGTCTGAATGTGTGTCAATATATTTGCCAGTATATATTTGTGTGTCAGTGTATGTGTGTGTCAGTATGTATCTGCAAATGTTTTAATATGTCTGTCTGTGTGTGTATGTGTCAGTATATCTGTCAGTGTGATTGCGGGTTGGGCGTAATGGGGAGGGGGGCGCAGGGACAGGGCCCAGGGGGCCCAAGAAAATGCTTTGCCCAGGGTCCTATTCATATTATAGACGGCCCTGAACAGAACTTGCAATAAAGAAAGCCTAAATAGGGCTCTCTTTACAGGAAGTGTTTATGGAAGGCTGTGCAAGTCACATGCTGGGAGGTGTGACTAGGGTTCATAAACAAAGGGATTTAACTCCTAAATGGCAGAGGATTGAGCAGTGAGGCTGCAGGGGCATGTTCTATACACCAAAACTGCTTCATTAAGCTAAAGTTGTTCAGGTGACTATAGTGTCCCTTTAACCCCTTAAGGACACATGACATGTGTGACATGTCATGATTCCCTTTTATTCCAGAAGTTTGGTCCTTAAGTGGTTAATGTTAAATAAATAGTATTTTCCCTATGGGAAAGCATTGGATTGGCTAAAAATCGCCCATTTTGATGTTCTCTCACAAAGGGTGGCGGAGCCAGCGCCGGCAGACCCGCGCAACGCTAGAAATAAGGTGAGTTTTATACTTTTATAGTGAGGCTAAGGTGGGTTTAGACCTATAGGGTCAGGAATACATGTTTGTGTTTCTGACCCTATAGTGATCCTTTAATTGAAAAGATAACTTGCCTTGTCTGAAACTCCCGGGAAAGGTTCATATCCCCCAGTTGAAATTGTTTTGGTGCTCAGAGTGACAATGTATCTCTGTGTTTCCATTAAATAAAATTTAAAAAAAACTATGCAAAACGTTATGTGTGTTCGACTTTAGTTAAAAGGTTACTTCAGCCACCATGGCCACTTCTGTTTTTAGGAGGTGGTAGCAGTCCTGTATGTGCAGTGTTTCTCCTTGAAACACGGCACACACTGAGATATATTAACTATTGTGCTGAAGGCTAGTTACACCCCAAGCTCTAGAATTCTAGACTGCCTAGTGTCAATCATCTTCTTATCTTATGTATATTGTCTGTGCGCACCGTGCTATGGCAACAGAGGTGATGAGCTTCTGCCTGCATTTCAATCCTTGCCATCATTAAGTACAGCCATTCCCACCTCCCTGTAAAAATACTATTTTTAAAAATTGTTATTCCACCCCAATCTTCCTCTCTTTCCCCCTCACCTTGCCTGCTGAGAGTATGGGCATGCACCTGGAGCTGGCAAAACAGTCCAGTCAGTGGCTTTGCTATGAGAAGTCTTTGATTGGACCACGCAAGTCCCTTGCTGACATACGGTGGAGGTGAGGAAGACAGCGCTAAGCACCATAACTACCATAACAACTACATGATGTATATTATGATGAAAATAATCTTTATGTGCCACCTAGCCTTCATGTTTTTAGTCAAATTATTTTAGAGTAGTGTAACATTAATTGTACTCTCCTGACTTCCAAAGATTAACCCCATTGGATAGTGCTTCAATGCTTGCAGATACAAAGCAGATACAAGTGCAACAGGACATTGGGTGACTGGAGAACCTAATTTTTATTATTTTCTTCTCAATCAGCTCAAAGATGGATTGACAGAAAACAAAGGATTGGCACTCAAAGACTCCTTGCACCATCGCCAATGCCTTAACCAATACAAAAAAACTGTGAATGTCCATTTAAGATAAATACAGATTGATGAGTGACACCATTAAGTTAATTTGTTACTATAATCGTAGTTAAAAAAAAATCTTTCACAGTTATTTATGCTTGAAAAAATACCACTGAAATGCGGTTACGCAGAGAAGTGTTTTGAAGACTTTAGCTTGCAGCAAAAAACGAATGTGTGATTCCAATAAAAACATCGCTTATAATCAGGAAACCACAATGTGATCTAATTGCTGCATAAAAACAAACTTTGGGAACACTACGGGGAAATAGAAATTACTTCTTTCAGTCCAATATTGTAAATAGAGAACACTCTGTGCCTCTTACTACACAGTAACTAACATATTTAAACTAACAATGGGACTGAGTCCATTGAAAATGAAAATCATTTAACAGCAGCAAGTTACAATGTCTTATGTTTTTACCCCAAAATGGTTTTATCTCACTTTGTAAAATGCAAAACACAATAAAGGTACATAAAAATATAAAATGTAGCATGCAATAAAATAAAACCACTAAAAGGTTTTTTATTTTTTTATTTTTTTTAAGAAAACACTAGTTTGGGTTACAGTATTATCAGTATTATCCAGCTCCCTCCCTAAACTTGAAAAAAAATTAAATAAATATCAGCGTGCCGATGGCCAAGTTCATCAACTTGTCTTTCTAGCTGCCGGGGGAGGGATGTAGGTGGCTGAGAGGAATACATGAGCGGCATTAAGTGGGACTGTGTAGCATGCTCAGTATGTGCAGCATTTCATAGCAAAGCGCCACGCATACAGTCGCCAGACACCTTAACCACTTCGAATGACTGAGTGTGTGGAGTAAACCTTTAAATGACTACAACTTTTCGTCTACCGGTAGTTTTTTTATTAGAGAAATGTGTACAAGGATGCTCACTAAAGTGTGAATTGGGAACTCAAAGGTAAATTCAAAGTGAATGTAATATTTTAGGCAAAAGTGAGGACATAGCGCACATGAAGAATTTAGAGATTTTAAAGATTTGCACTTATCTGAATAGCCTTGATCATTTAAATTAAAGGAACACTATAGTCACCTAAATTACTTTAGCTAAATAAAGCAGTTTTAGTGTATACATCATTCCCCTGCAATTTCACTGCTCAATTCACTGTCATTTAGGAGTTAAATCACTTTGTTTCTGTTTCTGCAGCCATAGCCACACCTCCCCTGGCTATGATTGACAGAGCCTGCATGAAAAAAAAAACTGGTTTCACTTTCAAACAGATGTAATTTACCTTAAATAATTGTATCTCAATCTCTAAATTGAACTTTAATCACATACAGGAGGCTCTTGCAGGGTCTAGCAAGCTATTAACATAGCATGTGATAAGAAAATTGTAATTAAACAGAACTTGCAATAAAGAAAGCCTAAATAGGGCTCTCTTTACAGGAAGTGTTAATGGAAGGCTGTGCAAGTCACATACAGGGAGGTGTGACTAGGGTTGATAAACAAAGGGATTTAACTCGTAAATGGCAGAGGATTGAGCAGTGAGGCTGCGGGGGCATGTTCTATACACCAAAACTGCTTCATTAAGCTAAAGTTGTTCAGGTGACTATAGTGTCCCTTTAATGTTAAATAAATAGTATTTTGAACAAAAGCAAAATACAGATGTTGACCATATATATACAAAACAACCATATTAAATTTCTTTACATAAATCACTTAAAACAAAAACACTGAGAGCGTACCATTTCTAGCTCTCTTATTCATAGATATATAGATATAGGATTCTAATATAAATTATATCTCAATACAGCCCTGGTGAAATTCAGTTAAAAAAAAAAAAAAACACAAATCCACCAAAAATGTTTGATTAGCTATGTTTAATAGCATCAGGTAGAAAATATAAAACATATTCCAAGTGTAACACAATAACCATGATTATAAATCATGCCAAGATTAAAACTGTGTGCTATTCAACTACAACATTGGAAATAAATTGAATTAAAAGGAACCACTCATTACTCAGTTTTTGTGTGAAGTCTAAGTGTTACCGCTCTATTTTGACACATATAGTATAAACACCTCTAGGAACAAACATTTTGAGAAGCAAATGAGAGAACATCTGACATGTAACATCTTACCTTTTTCTTCCAGGCACCAAAGAAACCGCTTTTATATCTGCTGTGACCGCCGCAGGTCTTGTGCATTCTGTAACGAGGTCATGCAGTGCGGGAAACATGACGGAATGTTCCTGTGACACAAGCCTTCAGAATGGGGGCTCTGCCAGCGAAGGGTGGCATTGGGGAGGCTGCTCGGATGACCTCCAGTATGGAATGTGGTTCAGTCGAAAGTTCCTTGACACCCCATATAAAAATTCCACTTCGTACGAGTCTGATGTGCTCAGAGTAATGCAATTACATAACAATGAAGCTGGAAGACAGGTACGAATTGACGTCATTTGTTTCTAAAATATCTGTAGTTAGCATTCTCACCTGGAAACCAGCTCTACATCATTAGGGCACAGTAAAGAAACTGGGATTATAGGTAAATGAAGGAATTTTTCCCTAATCAACTAGTTGGGCCGGAATTGTAGAAAATAGTTTTTCAGTTTACCATACCTTGGCCTGAAGAATAAATTACATTCTGGACATAAATTAACTAGTTACTGTTTGAAAAATAATCCTAAAAAGCATTGGTGCATGAGAATAAAAAATAATAATAATAATATTCCTAATAACTTTTTATTTGAATATTTGATTTTATTGCATTTTTTTTTGAGGAAGAATCAAAATGTTTACATATTAACAACACATAGCATTACATTATTTAATGTTTTGTTATTTGAATATTAACCTTTAAAAACCAAGACAGAGAATTTAATTACACTTTTGTGATAAATAGTGAATAGTGACCTTAATGTAATATTTTCGGATAAGCTTTTAAAATGATTTCATATTTTGAGAAATATGTTAATATTTTAATTTGTTTTTACATATTGATATCTTTTTTTATATGTTATATATTTTTTTATATTTTAATATCTTGAAAAAAACTAAACATTTTAAAAGTTTATCCAAAAATATTAAATAATTTCAAATGTTTATCCAAAAATATAAAATCGTGACAAAATCTACAATGTAATTATATCCCCTGTACAAAAAAGAAAACACGTTAAAAAGAAAATGCTACTATGTATTTTTATTGGGTGATCAGTCAACAAACTAAACTAGTCCTAGTTTTTACATTTATTTGCATATAAGATTGTTATAAAAAATTATACATTTTACTAGCAGTATAGTAAAATTTTATAATAATGTGGCTATATATAATTAATAAATAGTGATGTCCCAAACGGTTCGCCGAACGGTTCGCAACGGACTCATCATTGAGTAAACTTTGACCCTGTACCTCACAGTCAGCAGACACATTCCAGCCAATCAGCAGCAGACCCTCCCTCCCAGACCCTTCCACCTCCTGGACAGCTCACTAAGAATGCAGCTTCACAATGAATGTAAAATGGATGGTGTCCAGGAGGTGGGAGGGTCTGGGAGGGAGGGTCTGCTGCTGATTGGCTGGAATGTGTCTGCTGACTGTGAGGTACAGGGTCCAAGTTTACTCAATGATGAGTCCGTGGCGAACCTTTCGCGAACCGTTCGCGAACCGTTCGGGACATCACAATTAATAAAGCAAAAATTGCAATTACAAAAAACTATTCTTTATATAGTGACAGCATATTCCGCAGTGCTGTACAATAGGTATACTAAATGAATACTAAATTCTATCAAAACATGAATGACATGCTGAAACAGCAGGTGAAGAAGGCCCTGCCCAAATTGGCTTACACTCTCAATTGCAGTTAACCCAAGTAGTAATTTAGTATTCAAACAGAAAGATAGTGTGAAATGTACTATCTCACTGTTTGAATAGTAAATTAGTACTTGTGTTTACTGCAATGTGTGGATTCTAAACTCATATGGGCAGAGCCCTCTTCACTTGCTGTTCCAGTATGTCAATCATGGACCTGTGCTAAATGCAATTATTGCATTATTAATTAACATCTAGACTTTTCCCCCTGTATTACTGCATGGCTATTTTCCAAGCATTTCACACCATATCCCATTGGCTAAATATTGCAATCCAGCCATTGCTTTTTCATGTTTAATTTAATAGGATTTATTTTCAAATTATCTCTCATGACCCCACGTATGTGTATCATAACACAACTTCCTGGGTTACCTTTCCATTTAAGGTTCCTTTTCGGAACCTCAGATGGAAAAATGCTGGGTTGACTCTGTAAAGAATTAATCTAAATGATTTATTATTATTGCGTTCAGAAACTGCCTGGTATTTGAAATTATTTTTTTTGCTGCTTCAAATCTTACTGATCAGCCCCATGTTTCTCTTGTATATAGGCTGTAGTCAAGCTTATGACTGTGGATTGTCGCTGCCATGGGGTCTCTGGGTCATGTGCCGTAAAAACCTGCTGGAAATCAATGTCCTCATTTGAAAGAATTGGTAGTTATCTAAAGGACAAATATGAAAACAGCGTACAAATAGCAGACAAGATAAAACGAAAGGTACGGAGGAAAGAAAAGAATTATCGCAAAGTTCCCATTCGAAAAGACGACCTTATCTATACCAACAAATCCCCAAATTATTGTGTAGAGGATCTGAAACTTGGAATATCTGGGACACATGGACGTGTATGCAATCGAACATCAGAGGGACCAGATAGCTGTAATCTACTCTGCTGTGGTCGTGGTTATAATACGCACGTGGTACGACACGTGGAAAGATGCGAGTGTAAATTTGTCTGGTGCTGCTATGTTCGATGCAGACGATGTGAAAGTATGACTGATGTCCACACTTGTAAATAGTGTTTTCTCTGCAACAGAAAAAGTATACAGACAAAAACATTGCCTATATAACAGCAGAATCATACGTCCTGGAATAAAAGGCAGGCACAATGCCCCCATGACACCTTGGTTATATTTGTCAAGCAAATCCATGTTATTATGTGATCATTCTCACATTCTGAAAATACTTCCACAACTTTCAGGGATATTATGCAGAACACTCTCGATAAACAGAAAGACTTTTACCAAATTCACGTAGCCAAATGAATGTTTTAGTTAATTCTTTATTTTCGTACTTTGATGCAGAATGGTGGTTTAATCAGATATAACGTCATAATAATATAACGAATATTTATGTTTCTTTGGATGTGTGCAAGCATGAATCTTTCAATGCAGGGATATGAATTGCTAATTTTGACATAGATGAGAAATTAACCAAGCAATAGCAGTTGATGACATATTCATGCTATGTCCCATTTAGACTTTATCTCGATATGTTTTATATAGGGTATCAATTATTAGCTTCTAAGGCCTTTCAAAGACACCTCTTATTCTTCAAATATTCACTTATTGATTAAAGAATGAGACCATTTACTGGGAAATTCCAAAATCTCAGTGACTTAGCAGAATTTGATCAGCATGTTGTTGGGGCAAAGGTAAAGGAATCCTTAAGTTTCAGGTGACTTCAAAGAATGAACAATTTAGTATCTCATATCATTGGATTGCAAAGACCCAGCATTCTGTCCAAAAATGATTATGCCTCGGTGCTTACAAATACATTTGCAAAAAAGAGAGAACTCACAGGACTTAATATCCAAAATTCAATGTTCCACTTAATTGCAGCACAGTGACTTTAAGCAAAGAATTGACGGTTCAGTCCTCTTATCTTGAAAAAAGGCTGCGAGAGGACTGAGATGTCTAAAGTCACTGTGTTGCAATAAAGAGCAACATTGCTTTTTTGGAATATAAATCCCTGTGTGTGCTAAACAGCTGCATAACTTTTGCTTTAAGTAACATGCAAATAGAGTTGACATTGAACTCTTTGTTGGAGACAAATTAGCGTGGGATAACCATTGAGTTTGTGTATTAGAAAAAAAAAAATTACTCTGGGTTATTCACTAAGGTGAGAAATTATAGTGAATTTCAAATCTAAAGTGAAAACAGCGAACCTGGAAAAGTCAGCTGTGCCTTCAGTCCAGTTACTTATCCAAAAATTTTAAAATAATTTTTGAAAACATATACAGCACTTCTCTTTTTGCCTTTTTTTTTTCTTTAACAAGTACATGCTTTAGAATTTCTATGAATGTTTAGAGGTTAAATGTTATTTTTCTTATATTTAATAAGATTTTTTTGTAAAAAAAATAAAAAATAAATAAAAAATACATCTTTGCATACTAAAATATGTTTAGTGTAATTGCTATGAAATTATTAACTAGATCAGATGTAGAGTTTAGAGAAAAAGAATCACACATATATCTCTGCAAAGTGTGGCTCATCTCTTCATCACACAAAGAGTTAATAGATCTAATATTGAATATAATATTTCTTTAGGGCAGCCGTCGAGATGTTTAATATTTTCACCAAATCTGGCTACCATGTTTTTTTTTTTTATAATGCTAGACAGTCAAATTGTACGTTATAGTCCACTGAATAATGAACACATAAGGGTATATTTACTAAGCAGGATAGACATGGACTGGAAAACAAATTCAGGAAAAATGTTCTAAGTGAGCTATTTTAGTTTACCATTTTCAACTTTATTTTCAGACCACCAGAATTCTCTATTTAGTAAATAAACCACGGAGTGACCCATAGCCATACATTTATATATTAGTTTTCATTTAAAGTAATACACAAGGATTAATACCTCAAGTACCCACCTGCAGACCTTAAACGACTACCTACTCTGTATATTAGTACATGTGAGCTTTTTGTCCACAGTTAATATCTTTTGGTTTTTCAGTAACAAATTTTTTCTATTTATAATTTAAATACTATATTTTCATATCTAAAAAAAATTTTTGTACTATTGGGCTTTAAAAGTCTACAAGATAAAACATTTCAAAATGTAAAAAAAAAAAACAACTTTTTTTAGTACTTAGGTAAATGTGTACATTTTGTAAATATTTAAGTTATGCAGTTACATGCACTGGGTCTGAATCCAAATGCTTGTATGATATGATTGAGATGATTTATATTCCGGATTTGTATAGAATTTTTATCTAAATAGATAACTGCTATTAAAATTTGTTGTGCTAGTGTCAAAAACCTGTAAATTCTTTGTTATATTTTCTCGATATTTTCATAATTGATTTTATATGTTTATCAGAAATATTAAACATTTGAAACTGGTATTTGTTGTCTATTTCTGTTTGTTATTTCAAGTACATTATATTTTTAAGTTTTTCACAGTCTTTCTCCTGGGAGTAAGAGTATGTGTTGTAGGGGTATTTACTAAAATACAAATGCCCCTGGTTGATTTGGGGTAATTCAAACCAAAGTATTTATTAAAGGGACACTAAACTGCCCCAATTTTTTTTTTTAAATGAAAGCATTTACGCATTTAATTATCCATTTTTAAATTGGGGGTATATCTAAAAGCAGCTTGCAAGAGCTGCAGTTCTCTTGTCTGCAGCATTTGCAAGCCCTCCCTGTCTAGCCATGCCCAGACTTTCTGTGGCTATCCAATCACAGACTTCCCAATGCAGCTCAATAAGAAGTCTTTGCAAGGCAGGTGCTCTGAGCAATTGATGCCACTTGAGTTTAGCTCCACTGAGCTAAATAACCAAGAGGTAACAGGACCGGTTGTCTAATCAGGGTGTAATAAGATTAATTTATAAACGTGTCAATTTCTGTTGAAATCTGCACTTTTTGTAAAATGGAAAAAAGAGCACACTTCACACATAAAACTTTTCAGCAAGCTGAAGTGCTCTAGGGGTCTGGAGTGTCCCTTTACTGTCTTGATTTTGCAAAACTAACACATTATAACCATGCATGTAGTCCACAAACAAGCCTGTCGGGTTTATAAGAATCAAGGTATATGGGAATCAGGCTGAAAGAGGTGAATGTTACATGGAGCCATTTCTTCCCATTATTTTGTAGATTGGACCTGATCCTTTAACCCCTTAAGGATACATGACATGTGTGACATGTCATGATTCCCTTTTATTCCAGAAGTTTGATCCTTAAGAGGTTAAGCTCTTGCAAAAGTGGGATGGAAGCTGATTGTCTACAATTTTCGTTTAGTATTTTGGATTAAAACGATAATGGGACAATAGTATTTTCCTATATTTTGTGACAAGTGGAGGACACATACCCAGCAATGCCGGGCCGATGCAAGAATTCTGACTACATAGATGAAGACATATTTTGCCCCCTAAAGTGCATCTTCATCTGTGTAGGCCTGTGTGTCTTTCACCCACCCTTTACTCTTCCTTTTTCCCCTTTTGTGTACTTTCCACCCCTTTTGTGCCTCTTTTCCCACTTTTGTCATTTATATTCCACTTTTGCATCTACATTCCCTAAATTCAAATGAAAACGCAACTTATAATGACATCTCCAGTCTCAAAATTATTCAACCCCTTCATGGCAAGCATCTTTAGTTCTTTGTAAAGCACCCTTTTGCTTTTCTGACCCCGCTGCAAATGAGATGCATAGCTAGTCACCAGCTTCTGGCACCAATCATGAGGCCATTGCTCATGATCAATGGCATCCAGTTCAGTAATATTCTTGGTTTTGGGTTCTGCAACTACCTTCTTTAGATCCCACCAGAAATTTTTTATGGGTTTTGAATAAAGTGACTATGATGGCCACTGTAGAATTTTCCAGGATTTTTGCAGCCAAGCCTTGGTGGAGTTCGAGATATGCTTGGGGTCATTGTCTTGTTGGAAGGCCCAATGACCACAAAGCTTTAGCTTCCTCACAGACGACATGACATTTTCTTCTAAGATTTCCTGATACTTCTGTTTTCCAGTGCCAGAGGATGCCAAGTGGCACCAGAGCCACCACCAAGCCACCAGACAGAGTGTTATTTTAATTCATTGTTCTTCTTCCAGAAATACTGCTCATTCATAGGGCTGAAAAGTTCAATTTTTTTTTCATCGCTCCACAGAGCAGAATCCCAAAACATCTGTGGCTTATTTTGTGATTTTAAATATGTTAGAGTTGACTTTTCGTGTGCTTTTGGGTCAGTAGTGGTGTAAATCTTGGAGTTCTGGCATGGAATCCTTATTCATTTAGTACTGCCTTGCTGAGCTCATTGAAACCTCAGTGCCTGTTGCCACCAAGTCTTACTGCAGGTCTTTTGCAGTCACTCGATGGATTTTTACAACTTGCATTCTCAGATATCTGGTTGCAGTCATTGATAGCTTCTATTTTTGGTCCCGTCCAGGTAGTGCAACCACTGTTCCTTCAACTTTTAACTTGCAAATTATGCTTCCAACAGTGTCTCCAGGAACATTTAATGTCTTCATTATCTTTTTGTATCCTGTCCCTTGTTTGTGAAGGATGGTGATCTCTTCTCTTAATTTTGTGGGCCCTTCATTTGACTTAGCCATATTTCTAACATGCAGTCAAACATGATACTCAACAAACCCCTAGCCATTTCAGATATTTCAAGTCTTGAAGCCCTTACTCAGTTGCATCACCTATGCTTGAGACAACACCCATTTTGCATTTTTGTGCGGTTGCGAGGGATTCTATTCAGGAGGTTGAATAATTTGGAGACTAGAGAAGTCATCATAAGTTGCATTTTCAGTCTAATTTCAAAACCACTTGTAGCATTCATTGTTTTGAGCTATTTCAATTGCTTTTGCTTGGGTTGTAAATTGCAAACAGCTGAAAGTCTATAAATATTGACACTAAACCTGATTTTCAAAGAGGATTGAATAATTTTGATGACAACTGTGACTGTATACATGTATATATCACTCCTGGGTCTAGTGAATAAAACTTAACTTTTATTTGTCTACTGGTTGACATCATCAGGATCTGAGTAAAGTTTTAATTTTTGAATTGAAACGTATTATGTATTTGTGACTTGTGAATCATCACTCCTGGTCTGTTACAATAAAATATCTGCAGCCTCCAGAGCACAAATCTCAGCACACATGGGAAGATGGCACTGCGGATAATGTAGTTTGATACTAATGTTACAGGCAAGATCTTGATACAAATGATCCTCTAGTACAGGGGTTCTCAACACAGTCCTCAGGACCCCTTACCAGTCCAGGATTTAGGAATTACCTGGGTGTGTCTAAGGTGCTTAGAATAAGAAAAAACCTTTTCTTTTTCTAAACACCTTAGACACACCCAGGTAATCCTGGGGTCTTGGAGAAGTAGATTGAGAACCCCTGCTCTAGTAGTTTCCACTGGTTGCCCATAACATAGTGAACCCACCAGGGAGTGCAGACTGTTCTTTTGGTGGTTTCTGTTCTGTCTGCTGGTTACAAGTATCGGGTACCACTATTGACCTGAACCCTTGTGTGCAAGCCAATGTATGTATATCATTCATCTATCTATCTGTCTGTCTGTCTATCTAACTATCTTACTGGAGGAGGGTTATCAGACTGTTGTGTTCTGCTCCCCTTTAATAAATCTTTTCACTATGTTGTGGCAACCAGTGGAAACTACTAGAGGATGGGTTGTATCACAAGCTCGCCTGTAACATTAGTATCAAACTACATCATCAGCAGTGCCATCTTCCCATGTGTGCTGAGATTTGTTCTCTAACAGACCAGGAGTGATGATACACAGACATATATTGGGAGGAATCAGGTGTTAAACCCAGTTGCTTGGGTGGATGAAGTAGGATTTGGAAACACTTGATGTTTAGAGAAAGCTTGGCTCAAGCAGTGTTCCAAGTGACTGCACATAATCTGAATTCTGAGACTGTAATCCTCTGTATTCCGAGCCAGGAGCTCTTATTGCATCTTGTCATCGGCTAGTGTCCTCCTGTTATAATTACTTCTGAGCATGTAACTTCCAGTATTTTAAGCATCCCATGATGTGCTCTACAATGGAGTTTATTCATATTATAGGTGAATGTGCATTGCAGTGAATTGAAACATATCTCACTTTATTAACATGTATTATTCAAAGCAGCTGCGGAACTACCCTCGGTGCAGCCTGAATGTGGTGTGCATGCTCAGGGGGCTCATTGGGAAGCCCATGGCACTTAGGGCCACCTTATGATCATGTGTCTTCAGACGCCTAGTCGTGCGCTATGGCCCTTTAACAGTGCGACTGGGCCACTGTAATTATGAAATGGCAGCACTGGGAGGAAGTGAAAGCCGGTCACTTCCTCTCAGCTAATACCAAGCCACACAGGAGAAAGCACAGAGGAGGGGGTGTGGATTGGGAGAGCTAATGCCTAAACCCCCAACAGCCTTAGCCAGCAGAAGCCACCCTCCTGCACCCTAAAGGTAGGAAACAGGAGGGTGGCTAAAAATGTGTACATTTTGACCTGCATGTGTCTCGGTGTTTGTGTCTGTGTGGATGCATGTGTGTGACTGTGTATCTGTATGAGTGTCTGTAAATGTCAGTTTGTGTATTTGTGATGTCTTTATGTGTGTTGTTATGTGTGTCTGTGTATTTGTATGTGTGTCAGTGTTTGCATCTGTGTGTCTGTAAGTATCTGTCAGTGTTTGTATCTGTGTGTCTGCATATCTGTATGTGTGTCAGGGTTTGTGTTGCTAAATGTGCCAGTGTGTGTGTCTGTGTATCTGCATGTATTTACTTGTGTATGTCAGTGTGTGTATCTGTATGTGTGTCAGTGTGTGTAGCTGTGTATCTGTATGTGTGTCAGTGTGCAGTTTTGTGTCTGTGTATATGTAAAAAATTCTTGCACCATCTCTGTTCGTTAGATCTGCCACTGATAAAAAGTCTGCCTTTCATAGGTATCAAGATAAGATCATTTAATTTATTAAAGTAATCATCAAGTCATGATGATTTTAATAATCCTACATTGACACACAGACACACACAAGACAGAACCAAAATATCCCATTTACGCCCAACGGTTGGTGAAAAATCCTTTACTAAAAGACCAGGGTGATCTATCCATTTACCCCTTCCCCCCCACAAAGCATATCTAGGACTCCATCCCTGGTTATTATTATCCTCATTTATTCATCCACCATCTGCAAATTTTGCAGCCTTTGCTGTATATTGTGTCAAGAGCATAGACAAACCAAGATTTACAGACAAACTGTAGATTTCGATGACCCTGACATTTGAAATCAGTTGCACTATAAAGCAGATATATTAGCAATACGGTGCGCTTGTAAAATTAAAG